TAGCACCTCAAACCTCTCTTGCCACAGATCAGTGGGCTGGCATTATGTGCATGGTTAGGCAGCCCTTTAAGCCATGCCCTGCTCGGTTTTGCAGGTTTGGGCACTGGTTTTCTGGAGGCTTTAAGGCACTTGCAGATATAGATAGGTACATCTACCTGTGTGGTGATCCTTTAGTTCCAGGCTTTAGCTCAGTGAATCAAGTCCTTAAATATTTTTGTGTAAGCAGCATAATTTGTAATGAGAAGTGTCTATGGATTGCCTCTTTTCATCACTGTGGTGGAATGCTGAGCTGTGCTGGCCAGTGCAGAAAGATTTAAAAGCAGTTATTGCCATTACTTTTCAATTTCCAGTCTTAGGAACATATGAAATATATCAAAGGAATGCAAAAAAAGAGCACTTTGTAACAGCCAATAAAAGCCATGAATGATGAGCAATTAAACAGAAGAACAGCAAAAAAAAAAAAAGAGCAGAGGTAGAAATAAATACAGGAGAAGGTTTCCTGTTCCAGTTTTTAGCATAACATCCCAGAAGTGCATTTCCTCTGGGGTGGCAATGGGCTGACTTCCAGAAAACCAGATTTTATCATCCAAAAAAGCCACAGTTGAACAAGCTGTTGCTTGAGCTGTTGCATTGCTCAATCAGAGAACTGAACATACAACCCCAAGACTTGGGAGCCCACTGTGATCTGGTGGGACACCACTGTCCTCCTCATTTTTGGGGTCAGGGAGTCATGAGGACACTTTACTGCAAAGTACCCCAAAAAGTGAGGAGGGACCTCTCCTGTGCCACCTTGCTCAGCACCACTTGCTCAGAGCTGGAGTTATTGATTGCTCTGTGCCACTGCTGGTGGACACAATGTTTTGGTAAAATTAGTGCAAAATGCTACCTGCTCAACAGCATTTTGTGTTCCCTTTGTCTAGATAATGCTGAGACCAATGTGCTCTTGTTTCCAATTCATTATCTTGATTTTCTGTAGGCAAGGAAGGAGCCATGTGCCCTGCCTTTTCCCACACAGGGAGGTCCTGTGTAATGGAGACCAGTCCCAGAAAGTGTCTGCCCCTGGATTTTCTTTTTTGCTGTTTTAAGCAGTGCAGACACATTTTCCCATCTCCAGATCTCAGTCCTTCAGAGCACAGAGATAGTTTAAATGCCATGTGTGGGCAGCCACCTGTATCATCAGTCATTTTGCATGTTGGGGTGTGGAAGTTTGCCCTTCACTACCATCTCACCCACAGCACCTCCTCCAGAGCACCAGTTATCAATTGAAATGGGAATCTGATTTCCTTCTGAAATGAGAGGAACAGCAAAACACTGTGTGTTGAATTGGACTAAAGTTCATGGAAGCACTTATCTGCTGACTTCAGGTTTAACTTCAAGTGCTTTTCAAGTGAGGTTTTGAGACGTTTTTACCACATGTGAGCTTTTGTTTCCGGGAAAAGTGGAAAAAAGTTTTTATGCCCAAGGTGGACTTCTTTACAAATATCTGATAATCTGGACTCCGTTTTTACTTGCCATGGTTTATATGATAATGCTCAGAATGGGGGCATTACTAAACAGTTTGAGATAGGTGTGTATTGGAATCACAGAGAACCAGGAGGGATGTCTCATGGTCGTTAGTCTGAGCTCATGCTTGAATCAGGGCTTGACATTTTCTCAGGGTCTTGTTTAGCTGAGTTTTGAAAATTCTTTGAATTGAATATCCTTTCCAGGTCCCTGTTCCAATTTCATATTGTGCTCAGGGGATGATTTTCTCTTCAGCTGTAATTTCCCTGCTGCAGCCTGGGGGTGCTGCCTCTCATCCTGTCACTGTGCTCTTCTGGGAAGGGTTTGCCTCTGTCTACACCACCTGCCTTTTCCATCATCCAAACCACCGTCAGTACAATAAGACAAATCTCCTTGAGGTTGTTTGCTTGTTTGTTTTCCTCTCAGTGCTTCCCTTGTTTCTGTATTCTGGGAGTGATTGACAGCAGAGCCTTATCCTCTGCCTATTGCAAGCAACTGTGTGTTTGGGCTCTTTCAAAGAAAGATCTTGTTTCTATTTAGTACTCTTGAAAAGAAAACTTTGGAAATGCATGAACAGAAAAAAGACATTAGGTGTTGTGAGCAGAGAAGTCCCTGTCCTATGTTCCTGTCTGCCAAATAATAATGTTAGTTACTTTCAAGCTTAGTAGTGCAAGAGGTTCTTAGTCTTTGTAGAGTTGGCCTCATCCTGCTGTGAGCATAATAGTACCAGTTAACAGAGAACAAAAAGGCAGGTAGTTAAAACCCTCAGGTCTTCTTTGGTGGCAGGTAAGGTGGCAACCAGGTGCCAGCTCAGATACGACACAGGTCTTGCCTGAAAACTTGAGATTAGACCAGGAAATTTCTAATAAAAAGTCAAATTTTATTTCTTGACAACACCCAGGATGGATGTCCCAGTGACAGTTGTACAGCTGTTTCATTTCAGTTTAAAAAAAAAAAGGTAACTTCTTTTTCAAAAACATTACTATATATTTCGGCAAGATTTCTCATGTAATAAGATGCAAAAGTTCAGGCAATATCCTGTTTAGATGTGTTTCTATTTGTTAATAAAAATGGCATTGACAGTGAGGGATTGCACCGAATAAATCGTTACTTGTGAGTTCTGTTTCATGCTGAAGCCAGGATGTGTCCTGTAAGTTCACAGCTGTTTCAACTTTCTCTTTTCCTCATCTAGACAGCTGTATGTCCATGAGATTTATTTCTTGATCTGTGTGGACATGAAATCCTTCTTGGGATTATTGCCATAGAAACAAGCAATAACATAGAGCGTGTTAGAAGTAACAAATGGGATTTGGCAGTGCTTCCCATTTACTACACAGAGTCTAAGCTGTGTACAAAAAGCAGCAATTATTTGTTCTCAGAACCCTATTAGCAGGCACATCTGCACATTCATTAAAACCAGATACTTCAGCTTCCATCCTGGCTGGGATGACATTCAGATATTCTGGTCTTTAAACTAAAATCCAATGTGTATTTTATTTTTCAGTCGCAGGAATTTGTTGGGTTTGGCATTTCGGTTCCTTTTTGGTGCTTGCAGATCCCAGAGGCAGCCCGTGTGAGCCTCCCAGGAGGAGATAAGATGCAGTGATCAAATCGCTGGCTCCAGGGAACGGTCCCTCCTTTGAAGGATGAAGTCACCCAAGTTTTGCTTGTAAAGCCTGATCTCCCACGGTGCTGGGACCCAGCTCCCAGCCTCTCCCAGGGCTTCACACCCTACCTGGCTCACAGGACACTGCCCTTCTCATCCTGGGCGGCCCGGGGTGGCTCTGAGTTGGCAAAGCGCAGCAGCCTGAGCTGGAGGAGTAGATGGGTTGTGCCAGGCAGAGAGAGGGTTTTACAGGAGTGACCAGAACGTGCTGTACCTGTAAGCTGAAGCTGAGCTGACTGTCTGGGTCACAGCACGGCTGCTGATACATGAGGGAGAAAAGCAAACTCAAAGTTTTGAGCCAAATCCACGGGGCAGCTTTTGGAGTTGTATGGGATGGTAAAGAGGCAGGAAAGCAGATGGGACAGAATACAGAAAAGGGCAGAGAGATATATTAAAAACTAAGGTGTGTCTGCTGGCTGAGTGTGCCTGAGCCTCGACAGGCTGAGGTGCAGCAACAGGCACTGCCAGCCTGTGGCCCTTCCGATGTGGGAGGTTGGTGCTGGCTCAGCAGACCCTGGGGTGCAGATCTTGCTCTTCCAGCAGGCAGAGGCTGTGCTCAGAAGGGAGAGCTGGAGTCCTGGGAGAAGTTCTGCAGCTGCTCGGGGCAGCAGGGGTTGGCTCTGGTACTCTTCCCACCCCTCATCTGTTTCCCATCCTCCCTTGCATGAGGTAAAATCAAACAGAACCAAATAGTCAGGTCCCAGAAGGGTCCCTTGCTCAGGATGATGTATTTGCAGACCTGTGAGGGAGCATGCACTGTCCTTTTCCCAGTCCATGCCCTGTAATGCTGCCTTTAGCTGAGGAGCAGCTTCCAGGGAGGATTTTAGAGGCAGCTTGAGATGCTTTAAAGCTCTCAGGGCAAAATCTATCATACCTCTGCATCAGTTCAAAAACAAAACAACTTTGCTCAACAGAAGGAACATTTAAAGTTGATTGTAAACCTCAAAATAAGAGATGAAGCCTAGAATGCAGCCTGATAAACCCAGAGAACCGTAAAACAGGGAGCTTGAAACTGGGCTATGTGCTTGGAGTCTGCCTGCCCTCCTTTTCCAAAGTGCTGAGGACTCTGCATCTCTGGTGAAAGGGATGAGTGCTCAGGATCTCTTTGAAACATTTATTTAGTACCTAAGTATAGATCTAGGACTGACTAACTTCAGGCTCCAAATATAGTGCAGGTGTCTGCCTTCTCCCTCTTCCTCATTTCTCTTTTCCCTGCTCTTTAATCTCTTCATCAGCTCCCACGTTCTCTGTTCTCTCCAACTTACTTCATTTTTCCATCCTCCCCCAGTTGACTTCTGCTTCTGTTTCCACCTCCTCGCTCACTCTGACACCTCCTCTGTCCCATGGGAGCCACAGGGCACTTTTCAAGGTCCATCCTGAGCAAGCCTGAGGTGGCACTTCTGTTCTCTACTTCTCTCTCCCTCAGTTCTCTCTGCCTCATCCTCGGGAGGGCAGAGGTTCAAACAAACTGCTCCATTCTGCTCAGGAACTTGCTGAATTCAAGTCCCATGTATCTCTCCTCTCCTATGTGGGACTGACCAGGGATGGCAGCAGAAAGGGAATCACCACAGACACTCTTGTTGGGATTGGGAGCCCAAAGTAGCTGCCATCACTTTCTGGCCCAAAACCAACTCAAAATGTCCCATTTTCCTGTGTGCTTCCCATCACAGGCATGGTCTGCCAATGCCAACAATAAAAGCAGTTATCATGAAGGGACTGTGTTAATTCTGTGAACAAGAAACTCTCATTGGTGTCTTGTGTTTTTCAAATCAACCAGGAGACAGAAGTGGCCGTGGGTCTGACGGGTCTTGTCTCTCTCTTGCAGGAAGGCATGCCCCAAACGCTGAGTTCTACCAGTATGTTTACCCCATGTGGCTTCAGCCCTCATCTACATACTTCGAAAGAAGGTGAACAAGGAGGACTGATCTTCCAGGATGGAAACCTTACCTCAGCATCTCTGGATGCTCTAATCCAGCATCTGATACCTACCACTGATTACTACCCTGAAGTAAGCAATTCACGGGATAATAAACGGTTTAATTCTGATGAATTGGGGCAGCACTTTATGCAAAAAGTGCAAATGTGTTAAATTTTGAATTAAGAAGGCTAATTTAAAAGCTGCATACAATTAAAGCTTGGTAAATTGATGCATTGCTTTAAATGCTGCTTCACTGCTCTATAATTGTTCCCATGAAAAAGCAGATCCCAAAGATGATACTGCCTTTAAATAAGAGAGCAGGGTTGGGGGGAGCTGTCCTGGTGATGAATTAGTGATGTAGCAGTTGGAACAGTTCAAAAATAGCAGTGCATCCCAGAGAGGTTTAGAGGAACACTGGAGCAAAAAACTTCCAAGTCTGAACTGGCATTAAATTAGCTGAATTTCAGTGGCTGCTGAAGTCAGCCAGGTTTGCCTGTTATGTGCAAAGCATTCCCTCAGTGACAACAGAGATGCTTCTTCTGATGGGTTCATAATTTACCTGGGGTTCCAGTCACACCAGTTTTGCAGTCCCTGGACAGCACAGCCCAGATCCTAATCCTTGTTCTGTCAGTGAATATTGTTTTTCTTCACCAGCAGTGTGAGGATCTAAACTGGAAGCAGGTTTATGGTCCTGCAAGCTATTGACTTCATTGGATTTTGCACATCCTCCCTGGAATTCAGACACAGTTTGACTGGAAGACTTTTAAGTGCTAATATATCTCCATGGAAAGGCTTGTATTTCAAAGCACAGAGTAGCATTGACTTCTGGGCACTTTAGAAGACTAGGAAAGTTATCAATGCAGAGCAGGCAGCATATTTTAAATTACCCGGAGCTCAGTTTCTGATCAGCTAAAAGTAAGTAATGAAGAGGCATCTCAATTAAAAAAAAAAATAAAAAGGAATAGAAAGGCAATAAAAATAGGTAATGGACAGATCAGGCTGTGAGATTTTCATTAAGCAATGTGTGATATGTAATATTATACCTGCTGCTCAGGAGCATGGCTAGGGCTGGGGGAAAGAAGATAATTCAGGTGCCAGGCAGGGTCAGGATGCAAGCAACTGAGGCTTCATGCATATATTTTAAATTCACTGCTGGGATAATTTAAATAATCCAAGGATTTATCCAGCAGACCTGCTTCCCACAGCTTCACAGATGTGGAACTGCATATGATGTGACTTGGCTGATAGAAATGAATTTTGGGGAGTTAGTAGAATAAATGAAATGCTGGTTAAAACAGGCTGGATGCAATTTGCAGGACAGGAGCAAGATGTGGCTAATGTGGGAATGTCTGCAGCTCCCAACTCAGTACAACACAGAGATTCCTGAGTGTCTACACATTTAGATTTACTGTCTCCCAGTATCCTGGTTGTGCTGTCTGCTGTACCTGGGCTTGCCTCTGCAGAGTGACCTACGCACTGTCTTTGCTGGATATTTAGGCAAGCAAGGGCTGGAAGTGGATGCTGTGGAGAAGAGATACCACTGCCTCCTGTGCCCAGTATAACCAGTTCCATATTCAGGGTCAGGAATCCTTATGTCTTCCAGACATAAAGGCCTTGCCCAGTGAAAATGCAAAAACTGTGGAGTTCAGGGCTTTTATGGTCAATATTACCCACTGTGTGGCTGCTTACAGCAGGTCTGCTTGTGTTTCTCCCACAGAAAGCCTATATCTTTACATTCCTGCTGAGTTCCAGACTCTTCATCGAACCCCATGAGCTTTTGTCCCGAGTTTGTCACAAGTGCATTGAGCAGCAGCGGCTGGACGACCCCGTGCTGGACAAGGTTAGTTTACCTTTGCAGCAGAAAAATGTGAGGTGTTTCCAATGGGCAGAGAATTCTGGGGCTTTGCTCTGTGTCCTTTGCCTCCCTTTGGGTTGAATGAAGCTTTCTCACAAAGGATGACGGCTGCTGCTGAAATCCTGACATTGAGGCGTCCTAGTATCCATGTCTGAGAGCAGTGCTCCAGGCACTAATCACTTCAAATCTTCTTCTAATTTTCCCTTTCCCCCGTCTCAGTCTTCCCAGGTGACTTTCCTTCTTAACTTCTTTAAGGCTCTGATGAAGCCTGCGGGATGCAAGGAGGTAGGACATGAACCTCACTCACTGTCAGCTGCAGATGTCAACACACCACTCTCCCATTTTTACTCAATGCCTCTGCCCTTTTCCTTTCTTGCTTCTGGCACAGTAATATTTCCTCCTGGCCTTCCCTGTGCCTCTGAACACTCTGTAACAGCGTGCAGGTACCCACTCACCTCAGTGCTGACAGACCGGCCGCACGCCGGCGGCACTGCCTGGCACACCAGGAACGAGTGGAAACAGCAGTGAGGCTGTGACAGGCAAACAGATGAGAAAATCCAAGCTGTTCCTGCCTCAGCACTCCTCCTGCTTTGCCCCAGGGACTGTGCAGGCTGATACAGTGTGTAGCAACACATGTGCACCCTCTGGCAGTGCCACGGTGGTGACGGATCCCACTGGATCCTGTTCAGTGCTGGATTCTGCCCAAGCTTTCCTGGGTACATTGAAGACCTGTCCTGTGCATTACCTGGAGCAGGAGATGCACCTTCAGAGCAGTAGAGGGGGGGAAAGAACATGCATTAGTTGCAACTTTCCAGAACCCCCAGGATTCTGAAATGATTCTCAGGATCAGCCTTTCCAGCTTTGAAACAGTGGTTTTGGCATCAAATACTGAGTCACCAACATCTGAACACCTGTGCTTGTTTTTGCACAGGCACCTGGTTGCATGAGTAACAGGAGCTCTGCCTTCACTGTGGAGAGCCATTCACCAGACTACTCAGCAATCTGAGACTTGGATTGCCCGTACACTCTTTGTTAATAGAAATATTTTTGTGAAGTGCACCAAGCAAAACAGGTTTTATAAGCTGTGATAGGTTCTGCTCTCTAATTCTATGACAGATACAAGTTTAGGAGGATTAAAATGTGAGCGTTGCACAGTTTTGCTGCTCATTACACTTTCAAGAAATTAGAAAAGCTATCTTATGACAAAGATCTCTTATCTGCCTGGAGTGAATCTGTGTTTTGTAGTAACACAGGGTGGGTGGGACACAGCTGATTTTGTGTTCCTGAGAGTGGGGCCCACTTTGAAACTTTGCACACAAGAGACCTCCCATCCCCAGTGTCCTGTGACTTGCACAAAGTCCCCTCCATCGATTGGAAATACAGTTTACACAGCTGGAGCAAATGTCTCCCCAGACCTTTGTAGTTTCCAATAAAGCTTTCCCTTTAGCAGCCACCTGCTGGTCTTTGAGCCTGAGCTTAATGCTAGCTGACAGCAGTTATTTTTAGAGATGTGGTTCATTGAAACCTGTTGTTGGTGGAAAGCTGAAATATGCATTTTAACCACCTTGGTTGAAAAACAAAGAGCTGGGGAGCTTAAGAGTATAATTTTTCCTGATTACAGGGTACACTTTAGCTGCAGTACATAGGATACAGAAGAAGGCTGTTTGTTTCAGTCTTGTTTTCTGTAAATAAAAATGCAGTTTGTTGTTTAACACAATTTTCTTTTCACATGTTCTTGGATAACAGAGGATGAAAGCTTTGGGAGCAGCTGTGCTGGCCATCTTTTGAGATAACACTAATGCACCAACTGTGCTATTCCCCACATTTCCCTCCTTGCCCCATATCATCCTGACTATTCCCACTGCTGCATCCTCTGATAAATCTACATCAAAAGTAAAGTGGATATCAGCTGTGTGTTATATGACTGGGTGTCCTTGTCCTATCATGACCTTGAGCTCATATGGGAAGAGAGCAACATTATCAGTAGCCCAGGTCAAGTTACTAAAGTGCTGCTGTTTTGTCGGTCTTTTCTTCATCTTACATCTGCCACTGGTCACTAAGTAGTTTTTTCATACAGCCAGAAAGCAAAGAAGCAAAAAAAAACCTCTTGGTTGGTAAAGAAATTCATTCCAATCAATTTTTCAGAGAAGGATGAAAATGTAGCAGGGTTGAAAGTACGAAAGGGAACAAATGGTTCAAATCATTAAAAAGGCCAGACGTTTTTGAAAAAGGTATAAAGGTTGCACCAACAAAATGTCTACCCAACAAAATGTCTACCCAGCCATAAACCAGACAATTGCATGTGCAGAATACTTAAATCTGCATGTAAAACAGACAGTTGTGCATGCATCTAAGTGCTGGTGTATTTTGCATGCCCAAGTGTATAATTTGTGCACCCCACTGTTTGTATGCATGTGGCAGATTTTGCAGGTGCAACCATAAATGCCTTCTTTGAAAATCTGGCCCCACGTTCAGTGACACACATATTTGCTGGGAGACTTTAAGGAGTAAACACATTTCAGTCCCTGTCCATCATTCAATGGTTTCCATTTCAGGCTCGAATCAGAAAGTTTGGACCCAAAATCTTACAGCTGCTGACGGAGTGGACAGAGACATTCCCGTATGACTTTCAGGAAGAGCGGATGATTGGCCATCTGAAAGACATGATTCACAGGATAGCCCCGTGTGATGAGGTGAGGATGCCTGATCTTGGATGTTGTGTTAAGATGTTAAGTTCATTTTTCCGCTTGGTTCCCTCCTTTTGCCACATTCTGTTCCATGCCTCTTCCCAGATACTCTCACAGTTTTGTTCTCCAACAATGGAAAAACCCTGCAGTAGCTTCCCTGAAAGCCACATCTCTCACTTTGGGTACTCCTTGGCAGTGACATGGGGACACATCAGAGCGATCAGTAGAATTTATCTACTGCACATCGAATTGTAGGATAACAATATTCCCATTTTACAGAAGGAATATATGAAGGCATAGCATAGACTGAATGTGCTGGTGACAATTCAAATAGCAACAGAGCTGTGATCTCCCAGGTTAGAATCACAGAATCACAGGATGGTTTGGGTTCAAAGGGACCTTAAAGACCATCTCATTCCAACCCCCTGCCATGGGTGGAGACACCTTCCACTAGACCAGGTTCCTCAGAGCCCCATCCAGCCTGACCTTGAACTCTTCCAAGGTTGGGGCATCCACAGCTTCTCTAGGTTTAAGTTCTTGTGTTTGAAGAAAATGCAAATATTAATGAACATGTAGCTTCTCTGGGAGCATGAAGGTGGCAGAAGACAGCAGTGTGTGGCCTGCTGAGCAGCAGCTCAGGGTAGATGTCTGTATGGTCTCAGTGTTCAAACATGAGCTGTGTGTGTGGCAGAGTAAGTCACAGTGAATGGAGTCTCTGGGAGACCTGCTTGCAAATTCAGGTGGGTGAACCCCATAAATTAGTTCAGAAACATTAAAAAGACCACAAAGTCCACGAAAATAATAAGCAAATAGTACACAGAGAGTCTCTAATTACTTCTAGGTTAACCATGGGATGTGGAAGAATTCAGTTCCATTGGCTACATGAAGGCCTGGCCTCAAGCCACAGAGGGCTGCAGTTCAGTAGAACAACAAGAACATACCCATGAGGCTGAGAGAGGAGAGAAGGAATCAGCAGGGCTGCAGCACAACAGAAATGAAATTGGGCCCTCCTACGCACATGAAATATGTCAGAAATGGGAACAGCTGCCCTTGGGCTGGGCTGGCATCATGTCTGGCACTTTCAGGGAGCTGTAGGCTGGCCTGGATCCACTGGCTGGGCTGGCCAGCCCGTGGGAGAGAAGGGGTGGGAAGGGGAAGCTGTGTGACACAGTGATGGAGGTGAAGGGAACAAAAATAAACTCAGAAAAGAGCCCAAGTGGCTTCAGTTCCATTAACTAGAGTAGTGAAACTCCCTCTAGGGGAAGAGGCAATGGACTTGCTCCTGCCAACCACCACAAAAGGTGCCTTCCAGCCCTTCAGCATCAGTGAGAGAAACCCATACAGACCCACCAACATCATGTCCACTGGGAAGAAGGAACCAGCCAAAGGGCAAAGAAGAGGGGCTTTGTGTGTGCTCTCTAAAAGCAGTAGTTGCCCTGGTGAAGAGCCATAAATACAGTAAATCAACTTTCTACATACAAAACAATAGTTTTATTTGTCTAACCTGAGCAAGCACTGCACACCTTTGCTCTGGAGAGTGCATGCCCGTGTACCAGTGCTTGTGGGTGCCCTGGGAGCCCTCGACTACATTAGTCTCGAATCATTGTTTTTCAGATATTACCAGGCACTGTGATTGCAAGTGATTATGCCTGAGCAAAATCAATAATTAATTTAAGAAACAGCTCATATCCTACCATGCAAATTTCCTTTTTTAAGGGACAGCACAGAAGAGTGGTGGTGCCTGTTAGTTGTTCGGAAGAAAGTTGTTCCTGTTGTGAACCACAGAAAATAAAGACTGAAAGATTTGTGATGTCATGCAGTCCATGTAGGTCAGTGCAGGATTTTCCCCTGCAGTGTGTGCTCCTGTCCTTTGTAGAGTCCACTTTCTGAAGGCTCTGTGATGTGCTTAGAAAGGTGTCCATGCTGAGAAGCATTTCTGAGTAAGTGCTGTGATTTGCATTTAGAGCTAGAAATTTTAATTAAAATTTGAGCTCCTAAACCACCTGCTGAGGCCTGCTGTCTTCAGAGGAACTTTCCTAGTTAAGAACGAAACATTTTCTTTAAATATTAAACAGTAGTTGCTTCTTTTGACTGTTAATGTGGCAGTGAAGTGAAATTGGTTGATGGAGTCCAGCATGCAGCCCCTGTACAGTGGGGGGTCACTTTGTGGCAAGATAATTACCAGCACATTGAAGGTAATGAACAATGTTGTTTTCACTTAGTGAATGTGGTTTAAAGAAGGCAGGAAATGCTTTTACAAGGGCAAAAGCAGGATTTTTTTTTTTTTTTTAATTTTTTTTTTGTAATTTTTCCTCCAATGCACACAGAAAAGCTTTCTGGGCAAGGGTGCACCCAACCACTTGTATCTTCAAGAGGTCTAATTTCTGTGGAATTTTTTGTGTCCCTTAAGTGTCTCTCTCATTTCATTCTTTATTAAGTGATTGGCTTACCTGAGTCTTTGATTACTGTTGTCTATATCTGGTTTTTGTACCATATTCTCTACAAAACCAAGTGAAACTAGATCTCTTGATAAGGATCTATTGAAAGACTGGCTAATATACATGTCTTCCAAGCAATTTTGCGCTGCTTTTTGGCTTTTCATCCAAACAGTGAAGAATTTGATGCTGCACAGACATGGCTGATCCAAGATTTCTCATCCAAACTCCTTTTAGAAAGATAACTGGGTTTCCAGCTAAGCCTTTTAGCCAGATGTTTTATATTTATTAGAAAACTTGGATTTCAGTGCTGTGCCTGCCCGCCCCCCCTCCCCAATTAATTTCCCTGTTTACAAAATATGTTCACAAAAAACCAAATATGTCACTATTTGAGTTTTCACTAAAAAATAACATTGTGTTCATAAGCAGATTTGCAAACACACCTGGATGTAAAACAGAGAAATATTTAGATGGTGGTCAGTAGTTTGAGTCCGGAACAGTCTTTGTAAATCAAAAGTGTGGCCACCTGTTTGCATGAGGAATTACATGAAGAAGGCCTGTAGTCTCTTTTGCTTGGAGCTAATACACATCCATAACAGATAAAAAATGAGGGTGGGCTTTTATTTTCCTCACTCAATTTTCACTCTTCCTGTGTGATTTGCTTCCAAATACATTCTGTGTTGTCATTCTCCAAGACAAGTCCTCTTGCCTTCTAGATGCTTGCTTCATTTCAGACTTAACAGCTTTATTTTTCAAAAAAAAAAAAAAAGCCTGTCTGCATCCTGCTTATCTGGCCCACATTCTGGGCCAGCTCAAGAGGATGTCTTCCTTTAGTGGAAGGAGAGGGTCCTCAGCAATGTGAAACCTTCTGGTTCCTTGCCAGCCCAGGTTCCTCACTGACAGATGACAAACTGATGTTACTGACAACTTGTCATTATCAAATCTTGTTTGGATGGGGAGCGAGGAGTTATTCCACTCATGAGCAGCCAGGGGATCTCTCCACTGTGTGTCTTTGTGCCAGAAGAGTTGCTGGTAGTCACCAGCCTGTAAACTGTTCTCCCAAGTGACCATGCTCTTTGAAATTGGGCAAGCACCCATGCCCAGTGCTCATTTCTCTGGCTGGGAAAGCCCATGAGACCATATTCCTCAGCAGGATATATTTTATCCTGCATGTATGGCTTTTGCCAAGGGCATTTCCAATCAATCCTTGTCTTTAGAGCCCATCTACCTGTTCTCTCTGTTATCTCAGTGCTGTGATGTCTGCACCTGTCAGTCATGAAGAGCTGCAGTAATTTCTTTCTGCCCATCCTCCATGGCCAGCAGCTCCACTCATTGTCTGTAAGGAGCTGCTCCAGCTCTGAGAACAACCTGGGCACCTTAGTAATGATCATCTGCTGAGCACATGGCTGTGCTCAGAATACAGTATGAGCTTCCTTCAGTAGCAATTAACATTTTGGATGTTAAATACTCCAAGCTACACAATGCTCCAACCACTCCACCTGGGTAGCAAGCAGCAGCAGCAGCATGCTCCTGCTGCATTCAGCTCAAAAGGATGAAGAGAATAGTGTTAGAAACATTTCTTACTCCTAATAAATAAGAGTTGACAAGGCACCGTTAACAGGTAGAGTTCTCAGCCAACACGTAGCTGATATAAAGGACAGGTACTGAATGCTGCTGTGCTCCAGAAAGCTGCAGTAACTCATGTTGTAGCATTCCCTCTCCTCTGACCCTGATGTTGGCAGGAATATGGGAGTATCAGTGCCAGCCCAACCCACCAGTCCTGCCTGCCTCTTCTCTTGACTGCAGTCTCTTTCTGTGGTCCAGAGCAGAGAACTGTAATTAAGCCAACTGGTTATTCTGAAATAGGCTTGTTGGAAATAAAATGGTGACCTGTTGCTGGCTTAGGAGTATCTCGCAGAAGGGAAAATTCAGCACAAAAACACTCCTTTGTCAAATTTTCTAAGTGGCTTATGTTTCTTTCTCTCCCTGTCTCTCCAGGCCTACTGGAAAAAGATGAATCAGCTTTTGCAAACCCTGAATCAGAAGCTTGCCACCCTCAGCCATGGGCAAGAAGGGATTGTCAAGATCAGTGCTGCTGTCTCTGACAAGCTGGTTGCCTTTAAAACTAAACCCCCATCAATTCAGAGAGAAATCCTGAGTGTCTGCAGTGACCCCTACACTCTGGCTCAGCAGCTGACACATGTGGAGCTGGTAAGTGGGAATGGTTCCCAACTTCTGCAGCCAGAGGTATTATTTTAAGCCATCAGCTGCTAAGTATTCCAGACATAACTAAAAAATGTCTGCACTGCTGCAGCACATCCCATGCTGTATCAGCACTGCAGCAGAAGGCAGGGTTTGACAGGTTAAGGGATGCTTGGGAAGAAAACTGTAAATCAGTGTTCCTGTGCGTGTTGGGGAGGGTCACTGCACTTCAGCTTGCTTGTTTGTGAAATGTGAATCACAGTCCCAGGAAGATCAAGTCCCAGGAGGGTCACTTCTATAAGGTGCTCAGAGCCCCACAACCTGCAGGTGCTGTTGAAATGGCTGGTCATTAACCCCTCTGTCAATTTGGAAGGAATTTTAGCAGTTCAGATCCATTCCTCTTGATACACAAAGCATCTGAGTTGTCTGATATGGTTTTCATTCTTCCCTTTGGGTGTGCAGATACCACCCACAGGAAGTCCTGCTGTTCCCCCCGTTGGGCTGCAGTCCTCTCCCAAACAGGCTCTTGTTGGTAATCACTCCAGTTGCAGTGCCAAAACACTGGACAGCCTGTTGTGTTGCACACCCTTCTCCCAGGGTCAGGTCCTCCCTGCAGACCTCCTGGATGTGCACAGGAGAATGTAAAACATTGCTGCCCTCTGCAGATCTCCTGTTGCTCTGATGACTCCCTGCTGCCTGTCCTGTGGACACTGTTCATCCTTGAGAGGAAGGCTGGAAAAACAAACCATGAAATGGATTGTGGATTGGAGTGAATATCATGAAATTAGCCTTGGGAATTCTGAAGGTAGTTGATATTCTATTGTCAAGAAGTGGAATGGTTCAGAAATCCCAAATATAGGATCATCTCACCTAGGTTAGTTTTCAGAACATGCAGGCTTGGCTCTCTTTGCTTTATGTAACTTAAGCCAGAGAGTAGAATTCCTTTTGCCTGGAGTCTTTTTCTTGCTTTTGTTTTTTTTTCCTCCATAGTACAACTGTCTTCCAAGGGGAGATTCCCTGTAACTGAGGCATCACTGCCTTTTTAAAACAGATGCAGTTAGAAGTTTTCATTCCACTGTACTGTAACCAATGCTCTCTGCCTTCTTTTTCATTACTACATGTGATACACCAAGTACTCTGCACTGAAACTGTCTGATGCTTAGTTGTTAGTAAGAATTATTTGCTGCTTATTTAAAACAGTTATTTGCTGGACCATAGCAGGTCTGAGGCAGCATCAAGCACAGAACTGAGATTTGCTGGCTCCCAGATAGAGCCCTGTGCATCCAGCACAGTGGAGGGGACTCTTACTGTGGCTTGTCAGTAATGAGACATATTTATGCTCATTTTCTTCTTTCTACTGAAATAGTTCTAATTGTTCTTATGAATTTTAATGTGTAGTGTTGGTTGGCTGTCTACCAGCTCAGTTAACACTATTCAGAGGTGACAGATAATGGCAATGCCTTACCAAGGGAAATAGGAGATTCTGGGGTGCTTTCTGATTTTTTCCCTCTCTCTTCCCCCCCAACAGGAAAGGTTAAGTCACATTGGACCCGAGGAGTTTGTGCAGGCATTTGTACATAAAGACCCTCTGGATGGCACCAAGGTATGGTTTCTCTGCATGCAAAGTGTCTCCTGTGATGTTTGCCCAGGTGAACTGGTGTGATGAGGTCACCAAGAGCAGGGCCTGAGGCACGAGCTGACCGAGGCCAGGCCAAGTGGTGACCTGTGTCCTCCCATCAAGGATGGGACCTGTTGGCAGAGCTTGCCCTGGCAGGTCATTGCCATTCCTTCCTGGTGAGAGTAAAAGGCTGGCCAGCACCTTGATGTTCTGTTTTCTGGCTTGTTCCTCCCAACCTGCTTTGACTGGGATGGATGGTTTGTGGCTTTACACATCCAGGGAATGTCTGTTCCCTCTGTTGAAGGCTTAGAGGCTCGGGATGTGATGTAATGCCCAGAGTGTGTGCCCAGACACCACAGTAATGAGTCAGTGCATCGTGAATCAACATACTCCTCTCTCTCCACACAACAGCTGTTAACCCAAAGCACCACAGGGAGTGGAGTGCCTGACCAGGGCTTCATCCAAAGGCTGTGAAAGCCACTTGGAGTCTTTCCACTGATTCCACTGGGGTCTGAAGCAGCATTTCAGTGAGTGCCTCAATGAGGAAAGAGACTTCCTAGCTGGAGAGGGAGAGTCAGAGATTTCACATATTGTCTGAAAAGAAAGAGGGTGGAAAATTCTTCCCCTGAACTGCATGTGGGCTCCCACTGAGACCATACATCAATGGCAGAATTTCCTCACTGGATGCCGAACATGTGTTTGTAGTGCTGCACAAAGCTTGTAATGGTGAAAAGATGGATGGATGGATGAGAAGTGCAGCATTCTTCTTCTTGGAGCCACAGAGATTCTGCAGTTGGTTTCAGGGTGAGGGAAATGACAGAGATTCAGTTCCAGGTATTCTGAGCACTGGTCACATTCTTTAGGAAGGAACCCCTCGCTTGCACTGTAACCTCCTTCCAGGAAGTCATAGAGAGCAAGAAGGTCCCCCCTGAGCCTCCTTTTCTCCAGGCTGAGCCCCCCCCCAGCTCCCTCAGCCACTCCTCATCAGATTTGTGCTCCAGACCCTTCCCCAGCTCCTTTGCCCTGTGTGGCAGCACAAACCCTCTACGTGGAGTCACATTTTCCCTGACCTGTGAAGAACACCCCTGTTGAGCACAGGGAGTTGGCTCAGGTCTGAATTCCCTCCAGCTGAAGATCATATTAAACATCTTTCTTGTGCGAGGGTTTCAAAAGGCTTCACTTATGAATGTTTATCAAGCATTCTGAGTTGCAGATGGAAGATGCTTGGGAGGTGCTAAATATTGCTGCCATTTATAAAGCTTAACCTTTAAAAAGCAGTCTGTCTCAACTTTAACTGCTGCACATTTTTCACAAGTTTTGTGTTATTATCTGTGGTCCTTACGCCCTGGCACAGGACAACAGTGCTGAGATGGAAATACCATATTTGGAACAAAAATGGGGTTTTGTGTATTTTTTGCTGTAACAGGGAATAAGAAACAGAGCTCGTGAAAAGCAGCTGCTGTGCGTAGACTGGGGCTGATTTGGGTTTCCTTTGGGTTTTATGGTATTTGCATGCTGCTTGCTGACATTTACTTTTGAGATGCTTTTAAAATACACTGTTACTGTATACGTAGTGTATTCATAAAGTACCTCAGAATTCCAGCTTTGTTAAGCTTTGCTCCTCCATAGCATGGTACTGTGATTTCTGTTTCTAAACACGCCTGTAAACAGAATCACAGGTGAATATTTTCTTACTTGGAATTACCTTGGGAATCCAATTAAGCCTCATTATTGAAGGGGTTCTTAGTCATTTGTTTGCCTGACATAATATGAGTGATCCCATTGACATTAATGGATCTGTGCTTATGCATTGTGATTTTCTTCTTAATGACACGTGTTTATAGTAGTGCTGGGAAATGATCATCCTAATAAAACAAAAAAAAAATCAGTATTCTCTGGTACCCTCTAGTGGATGTTAATGAATGTTCAAACAAATCTCGTGAACTCCAGAGAGCTGTGTGTCCTACATGGACTGTCTAACAACTTAGGGCTGGGAAAAGGACTTGAATTCTTGTAATCCCAAGCAACATCTTGAGGCTGTGCAAGCTGCCCTATCACTCCTCTGAAGTCAAATTATCTGTTGATGACAAAGGAACTGGAAGAGTTCAGCCAAGTATCTGCTCCCACAGCCTGTATCAGTTATGGGAATTTATGTTCAGTTGTATATAAGTAAGTGAAAAATGTGCTTCCTGTAATGGCTCTTATCACTGAAGTGTCTCTGGCATGTAAGTGACCTGTTCAAGTGCAGCCATCACGGCAGAGCTGGGCACTAAGAGCCTGTTTTCCTGAAAACTCAATCAGGGAAATAGTTTGGTGTTTTTTCATAAAGAACCAACTAGAACTGTATTTTCTCTTGCTTCTCTCTTGTACACTTCACTAAATTCCAGTCTCTTCCCTCCAGAGAAGGGCTGTGGGTGATTGCATTTACTGAAGGGAGTCCCAGAACCAAGGCCACAGACTGGGCATGCTGTGGAAGGCTGTGCCTGTCTTATTTTGTCTGCATATTCTTGTTGCTGTCAGAAGCCTGCAATGCCCCAGCTGTTCATATCCCAGTGAGCAAGGGTCAGTGCAGCCAGTGTCAGTGAACACTTGCTGCAGGCAAAACGGGCTGTTTTCTGTACCCCAGTGTGAATGGTACAGAAAACACCAGCAGTGTGACACACTCAGCTGGACCCCCCTCTGCCACCCACCCACCCAGGGACTTTTGAAAGGGGCCCTCAGTGCACAGTCTACCACGTGCATGAGAGAGATGTGGCCAGTCATCATCACCTTTGTGCAGCATTTATCTTAGTGATCAGCCAGCTACCTGGAACACAGTTAGATTTTTCTGTGCTTTTTCCCCCCCCCCCAGACTTGTTTCAGTGAACAGAAGAAGACGAGTAACCTTGAGGCCTATGTGAAATGGTTCAACAGGCTCTGCTATCTCGTAGCAACAGAAATTTGCATGGTAAGTCAAAAGTATGTGGCGTGTTTTACCACACGCCTGAGGTACCACTCTGAGATCTTACATTAATAAGCAAACCTGGGGATTTACTTCTTATGACCCAGCAAAGCATCTGATGGGAAGTTTTAGTGATACTGCACTTGCAGAAGCGACCTGATAAATGACAAATGTATTGCAAAGCAGAGCCGGCAGCACACGAGGGATGCACTGTTCTCTTGATGTAGTAGGAGCACAGTGTGGAATAATGAACCCTGCAGGGAAAAAGAGAGGAAAAAGTGCCTCGAATTATCCTGTGAGATTTCTGCCGGCAAAGATTCTGGTGGAGCTGTATGTGTTACCTGTCATCCTAAGGCTCTGCTGTGTGTGTAAATTCCCACTGCATGGCTCTTTGTCCCATTGCCCACTACTGTAGCTGTGACTGTTGTTTCTTAACTTGGTCATGGTTTTAGTTTGTTTAATTTGGCCCCGTCGAAATGCAATTTATGTTTTCCCCTTTGAAAAGGGTGTGGAAGGGATGAATAATAATAGTTTAAAGAGCCTGGATAGCCCATGACACATAAGAATTACCACTTGAAGATCATCTTTGGGAAAGGGAGGGTGATTCCAGTCCAATTAAAATGTGTATTTAAAATGCACACTACCGTTTGGCCTGGCTGTATTACTGGAAGGGACAGAAGAGGGGAAAGGGATTAATGCAGTGAAACAAACTCTTTCTGGGACAAGGATGCTGCTGTTATATGGGTGTGAAATCCTGCCCTTAGGAAAGTCTGTGCTGATGTGCCCAGTGACTGGAGAGAGGCCAGCAGGGAGCTGAGGCCCTGCTTGGGCTGCCTGTTCCAGCACTGAACAGTCACTGAGGCCAGCCTGGGGATTGCTGTGGGTTTCTTCTGTGTCACTGCCATGAGAGCTTTGATGTTGGAGGCTGCCAGTCACCAGCATCCACTGGATGGCTGGAACGGAATTAGGGACAGTGACTAATAGCAGATGGTCCAAACTGTGCATGGAACCATGCTGTACATGGTACAAATGCCTAGGATGACCTCCAGTTCTGCCTCTGCTTATTACAGATATTCATTTATTTTAATTTACAGCCTGCAAAAAAGAAACAGCGAGCACAAGTCATTGAATTCTTCATTGATGTTGCCCGAGAGTGCTTTAACATAGGGAATTTTAATTCGCTGATGGCAATCATTTGTAAGTACAGCTTCTAACCAGGTCTCTCCATCAGCTGTCGCAGATGAAAAAGGAAGCCCAATTCTTATCCGTGGCTCTCTTTTTTTCTCTCTCACTCATAGCTGGAATGAACATGAGCCCAGTTTCCAGGCTAAAGAAGACTTGGTCAAAAGTGAAAACAGCCAAATTTTTCATTCTCGAGGTAAAGAAAAGAAAAATTAAAGAAAGGTGCTGATGTACTGCTTGAATTATATTCTGGATTTTTTTGTTTGGGAATTTTCACATTATTAGCCAGGTATGAGATGTTTGCAGACATGTTTGACAGGCAGAGGGCCAGATTCTAAGCTGAAATTTCCCAGGTGCAGTGAGGAAGGTGTGAAGCTGCTGATATGTAGAGGGGATTCAGACACTCAAATAAATAGGAGAAATAAAAAAAAAAATAGAAATATGAGCATATATGCCATAGTGCTTCCATTGATGCTGAATGTAAAGTTCCGAGTCTGTACCTTGGATGTTGAGTGAACAATGGCCCAAGGTTGGTTTTTTTGTATTGAAGATTCTTTGGCAGATATAAAGTGTGTAGTCCTTATTCTTTCACATAAAAGCTCAGTAAGCTGTTAGTAGAAAAATCAAAGGTGTGAACAGCCATGGGCTGTAACCTCTCACTGTGTCTTTGGTGCGTGGAGTTCTGCGGGTGTGTGGATTCTGAAGATGTACCTTTTCAAGACGTAGGCTAAGCTCTGCTCAGGGTTTGCTACAACTGAGTGTAAAGTTGTTTTTGGAGAACCCGGGTTGCCTTCTAACCAACAGTGTCTTCTTTTGTGCATCCAGCACCAGATGGACCCCACTGGTAACTTCTACAACTACCGAACAGCGCTGCGGGGGGCTGCCCACAGGTCCCTGACAGCACACAGCAACAGGGAGAAGGTGGGTGTGACCACATCTCATCCATCTCCACAGAGGTGCAGTGCATTGCTGCTGGGAGCCAGTGGCTCAAAGGCTTGATGCAGATGTTCTCCTCCCTTCCATGGGTCACCAGTGCGAGGCTTGTGCGCTGCTGAATGCAAGTGGAAATGTAAATCTGTGGCTGAAAGAGTCTGAAGTGGGTCCAAGGGCTTTGTGGACTTGCTCTCGGACACCGGGGGGCTGGAGAGGGCAGGACACACAGCGTGGAGGATGTTGTTGCAAACATCTCTATATCCCTGGGAAATTCACATTGTTTAGGTTGATAAACCTGATGGAACAGGTATTCCAGCCTAAAAATGACTTTCATTTTGGTATGCAGCATCAGCCTGGCAGGCCCAGGTGGAACTGTGCTTTGGTACAACCGTGCTCTGAGGCTCTGGCAGACAAGCCCCTATTGTGCAGAGTGTGATGTGAGATGGAGAGAGAGGGCACAGCACTGGAGATGAGGTGGTTCTCCAGTTACATTAGGGAAAGATGACTTACCACAAGCACTGCAAAGGAGTCTAGTCTGAATCCATTGCAGCAAATTTGGAGTGATATTCTGTCCTTGTGAATTTTCATTTCGTTTGGTCGTTGCTGCCATCTCAGTGAGCAAGAATTGAAGTGTTTCATCAAGTGTTCAGGGCAGATACGGAGCTTTCTGACATGTCACTGATGCTGCAAAAATCAGACTGACAAGATGTTGGAGTGCAGGATCCTCCTGTTTTGTGCCCCATTGTTTCTTGTTAATTTTCTTATTTCTCCATTCAATTCTCTATTTTTTTTGTTTTATGGAAGAGGGTTTTTATTTAACACTACAATTGCCCATAGTCAGAAATGGGTAGTCTCTGCACAGGGCATGGCAAAGGTAAAGTAGATACTGCAGGAACAAGAATAATATGGAATTTAGTATTCATTCACTAGAGGAGCCAGACCAGATGCTAATCTCACACACTTGTAAATTTGATGTAAATCTGCTGAAGCTAATGGAATGTCCCAGCATTTACAGTGAAATGAGATCAGCATCTGGTGGCAGGCTGACCCAGCTGCACTGGGAGTACACTGAGTTGTTCTGAAAAGCACTTCTCTGTGCAAAGGAGGGATGATGGCTTTGGATGTTTGGGACTGGCAAAGAAATTCTTTTAACTCTCATGCGCTGCAGTGAGGATCTGTCAGTCTGAGGTGCTTTTGCAGTTTAGTTTTGTGACCATGATAGATATTCAAACCAATTCTTTAGAGTTTGACTTAATTTCCTGTGAAGTCAGCAATCTCTGTCATATCTCTACCCCTAGCTGGTTAATACTGAGGGCAGAGAGGTTATTAGATCAAAAGGAATCTACTTTACATCAGAAAAAGCCATATTCTGTTTTCTGAATATTAGTTCAAGAAAATGCTCCAGGATATGATTTGGTAGCTATTCAAACAGTATTTTACAGTGTCAGACAAAGCAGATCATGTAATGCTTGCTGTAGGATTAAGGAATATTGTTTCTTTTTATAAGCAAGACTTATTTGTTTTAATGAGCTTGAAGAAAATTGAAAGAACACGATCGCTTTTTTGATAGAAAATGTTATGTTGCTTCTTGGCAAACACATAGCAAAGCTCACTCTGAAGAAAATTTTTATCTTCAAACTGAACTGTGCTTGCAGAGGGGTGTTACTCATTAGTAACTAAGTCTGGTTTTGTATATGCAGTCAAACGACCTGTGACACCTCTAAAATTAAGTCATTCCACAGGGAAACCCTGCACTGTGCTAATGACTTGTCCCTGGCTTTGAAATGTTGGGAGTATGTACAGTGCAGTGCCATGTGTTGTTGCTGTCTGATGCTGTGGAGGAAGAACATGTTGGATCTCATTAACTTCCTTCTTTCTGCAGGAGGCAGTTGTGCTTCATCATGTGGGTGGGTTGGATGGCACGGGGGGGGGGATCAAAACAGAGAGAAATATGAGTTTCTGGCACTAACCCAGATTTTATGCTAGTAAAGTGCCTGGATTGAAGCCAAACCACTTTTGTTGGTTTTCCTACATAAATTTGGAAAGCAAAACATACTGGATAATACATTTTTAGTGGGGAAATAAATGGTGACCCAAAGACAGAAATCCCATGAAAATGTATAAAGAACTGGTATCCTCGAGTATGCCTTTGGCACCTTTTGGATGCAGATGAGAACGAGCTCTGCCATGTTCTCAGCTGACTGGTGGCTTTGTAGCTGTATTAGCATGGCATTGAGCCCACATTCATGTACCTTCCATCTCAGCAAGGCTTTTCACTCCTGTTCAGTACCACTAATGGTGGTGACCTTGCTCCCAGGCAGTGTGGAGCAGGGCAGGACAAGCTCGCATCTGCCTGCAAAAAAAATATGTAGACAGAACTTGGCAGTCATTTCTAACTGTGGATCAGTGTCTGGCTCCAGCTCTCTATCTATCCACAGTGGTTACAGTGGTCATCACCATTTTTGGTAGAAAATAAATCACAGACTGAATTATATTGTTTACTGCAGGTTTGTTGATCTAGTTTGAATATTTGCCATGAAGGCACTTGAGCTTTGGTGCTGATAACAAGCTACAGTTCAGTTAATATACAAGTAGGCCAGTGGAAGCATTTGGACACTGCCATGCACTGTGCTTTCCTTCATGTTCATGGTGATTAAGTTTATACTTGGTGGCTTAAAAGACAGGTGTTGCTGCCTCAGGAAAATGCTTTCAGAGGCTGCTGACCTTACAGCTCAAACCCTCCAAGCAGCCTTTTTCTGTTGCGTGTCACTGCTGGAGAGGTGGGGAGACTGAGATTTGACTATCAAACCCCAGAGCCCTGGGGGTCAGCCTTGCAATGGACTGGCCCTTTGTCTTACCTTTCTTTTTTCTTTGAGTTGTCTCACAAGAGGACCTGGAATGACTCTGCTTCACTCTGGATCTCTGCTGGAATGCTGGGGATTCACTTAAGGAGCATTGTTACTGTGTTCTGCTGTACAACATCTGGCATCAAATTTATCCCTGTTGAAATTCCATTAATTTCAAGAGTCTTACTTAGACTTCTTTTATAGCAAATTATGACCCACCTCTGGTTGGTTAGGGGGAAGGCTTGGATCACTGCATGTGCCACTCTGCCCTGGATGATGGCCAGGGCTAATTTTGAGCACTACAATGGTCTCTCTGGCTACTGTTGGCAGTTTCCTGTCAACCAGTTTAATATTTTCAATCCTACTGTCTGTGGGTTAATTTGGAGAAGCAGGTTGTACTAATCAGGCACCAGGAAGGAAATTACATGCCTCGAGAGGTAGCCATGCATGGAGCTGTTGAACATGAAACAGCTTCCCATTAACTGTTTGTAGACAAGTCCTTGGTCATGAAATTTTATTCTGCCTTTCCTCTCAGGGACAGTACTGATTCTTTGATTCCCAGCTGTCTTTAAATTGCTTGGTTTGTGCATTCAGCATCTTTGCTTACAAAGACACAACAGAAAAGGGAAGAGTTGTGAAATGTTATTTTGCTCTTTGCTGTCTGATCTTGTCATCAGGCAGTGATGCTGTTGATAAACTGGATTGTTAGCATTTTCTTAGTCATGTTATTGTGCTCAGTGAACATTGTGTTCATTCACTTTCATCTCAGCATACATTCTCCTGATGGCTGAAGGTCTCTCTATACACTACTGCCCTTTTGCCTGCCTGTTATTGTGCTGCTTTTTAAGTGCATAGCACACTGAAAAGTTAATATTTCTTTATTCTCCTCTCTCCCAATTGAGTTGTTCTTTCATGCAGAGAAAATACTGAACTGGAAAGATAATAGTTATGTCATTTCTCTTCGCAGATTGTGATCCCCTTCTTCAGCCTATTGATCAAAGACATTTATTTTTTGAATGAAGGATGTGCTAATCGCCTTCCAAATGGACACGTCAACTTTGAAGTAAGATCTGAACAATGTTTTTACCTATTCCATTCTGATAGCACTGAGACAGTTTGCCTGCAATTTTCAGTGCAGACCAACAAACACCGAATGTGAGATAATCTGAGTGGAATGATTTCATGTTTACAGAAATTTCTGGAACTGGCTAAGCAAGTAGGAGAATTTATAACATGGAAGCAAGTGGAATGTCCCTTTGAGCAAGACCCTAACATCATCCACTACTTGCATACTGCTCCCATTTTTACTGAAGATGGTAAGACTCTGTACAATCTCTAATCATTAGAAATGTGTCTCTTTGTCACTACTAATTAACACCCTGATCCATGCTTTGGTGTTCCCTCTCACTGACCAGTCCCAGTTCTTTCCTAGCTTTCCTGTCACACAGCTTGTTCATCCCCAGTCTGTCCATGGGTTTTTGCAAATACAACCTTCTAGCACACAAAGCTGCTGCTTTTCTCTTGTCTGTAGCCTCTCTATGAGGCTCTGTCTGGGAAGTTGCCATTGTGGCCCTATTTTTGCAGTCACAAAAAGAGGCCACACAAGCACGTCATGGACTGCTGTGAATGTCAGCTGTCCCTTAGCCACTCATTCTGTGATTGATGGAGCCAGAGCTAATCTCTTCCACAAGCCAGCTCTGTCATCTCTTCAGTAAACACAGCCCAAGGCGACGGTGTCCAGCTGACCTCCTCCCCTCCAACAAAGAAACACGTTATCCACGGAAAAGAATTTTTAAGAAAACCTTTTCCAGTAATTAATTTAAACTGTAGCTATGAAAGCCCTGAAAATATTTCTCTGATTGTCTTTTTGTACTCATCTGTCCTCTTCAGTTTGGTATCCAGCATGTCAGACTGTGTCATTTCCTATTGTTAGCTGCCTCTCAGTACATTGTCATGCAAATTCTCTATAGACACCTTCCCCTAAGCTAAACTGGTGTTGGGTTTATTTTTTCTTGATTCTATAGGCAGTTTTCTGTGCTAATCCAAGGTAACCAGACCAGACAGTTTTTATTTCACAGACTACTTCAGAACACAAAATGCCGCTTCTAAAATCCTGCCTAAACCCTAAGAAGAATGACTGCCAAAATAGAATAATTGCCAGAACAGAATAATTAATGTGATTAAAGTCATGTGTTATGAAGAGGAGATAGGATGGAGGCATTTGTTCTGGCTTTGGGCTCAATAGGGACAGAAAAGGAAAGTCAGGGGTAAAAGCACAGTTTTCAGGCTACTGGACTGAAAAAGGGTGACCTCAACCCACTAATCGTTTGCAGATTTTCTGTCTCATGCTATTCCTCATATTCATACTGCTTTCATGAGATGCCCTTTGCAGAAGCCACAGGAGGCCTCCCCCCTTACCCAAGGGAAGTGCAGAGTAGAAAGACCTGCCCTCAGTAAAAGGTGGGAGGATATATGAGAGAGATGCTGCAGTGGCATGTGAACTGCAGCTGCACTGTGCGTGTCACAGCGTGCTGGAACCGTGGGCCAGCACTGGAGTATTAAAAGGCAATTGATTTGTAGCACAGACCTCAGTAGTGAGATGGTTCCAGCATTAAAGAATAAAGCCTCATGAAACAGTCAAATGAGGAAATGTGTGTGAACACAAATCACAGCCCATGATTCTGTGAAGACAGTGAGATATTAATGCACTGCCAGCTTGTGCAAGGGAAACTCTACAGTCTAGACACATTTTGGTGTCATAAAATGCATCCTACAGTGTAAAAATTTGCAGGAAAAAAAAAAAGACATTTATTTTCTTCCACTGCATTCTTTCTCTGGTTTCTGGAACTCACTCTTACCTCAAGGGTGTTGTGTATCCATTTAAGATACCATGTTCCCATAAGCTTTAAAAAGATTGAGGAAGATAAAATTGTGTTAAATTATGAGACTATCCTTAATTTTTAAAAACTTATGTGTTTAGCTGTCAGCTCTGTCTGTCTTTTTTAGTGTTTGTGTAACTCTTTGGTAGCAGTGCTGTGATGAAGGAAATAGGCCCAGACCTCTATATGGAAAACCAGAGACCATTCAGCTACTTAATATTGTTAAAAGGAGGTCACGCTAACATATTTTAACTCTGGACTCCTTTACTGTTCCATGAAAATTAACCTTACAACTTTCCAAGGTAGACATGTGAGCTAAACATCAGTCCTACTCATTACCAGCCACCTGATGGACCATAAAGTTTTAAAGTTTCTGTTGCTGTGTGGTACAATGTAAAGACACACAAGAATGCAGAGAAATGGGAGGAGTTACTGATGTTGTTGGAATAACACATATTTACCTTTTCCAGGTTTGTATCTGGCTTCCTATGAAAGTGAAAGTCCGGAAAACCAGACAGAAAAAGACAGGTGGAAATCCTTAAGGTAACCTCTCATTTTATCAGCTCATTTCTAAAGTGCTGCACTGATAGCCAAAGCTTGTGAAGTGAAGGCATTTAAACTGTGACCTTTGAGGGACCTTTCTTCCATTTAAAACTAATCTGCAGAGCTGAGGCTGCCCTGATAAAAGCTCATTGTAATCTCAAATTATCCTCCATTTAAAGAATACCCTCTGCTTGCTGTACCCATGCAAAAGCCTGGTGTAGATGAGGAATACCCCAGGTTAACTGGATCTTCCAACAATTTACAGCTTTTATAAGAGATGTATAATGGTTTTATATAAGTGAGAATCTGAAGAGAGTGATTTAAAAAAACAAACAAAAAACAACAAAACACTTTACATTTGCCTTTTTTTTTCATTGTCCTTATGTTTTAAATTTACAGATCCACTATTTTAGGAAAGACTTGAAGATTAAGAGATTATTGCAGTAGGTCAAGGAAAAGAAATCCGCAAACATTTTGCACTACTGATTCCAAAGATGCCTGTTTGGGATTTAGACAATTTCTTTTGTTTGAGTTTTTCGTTGGGTTTTTTTGACTGCCTAACACGATGGATGAACTGGATTCATCCACTGAAATCAACGGGACTGTGTGCACAATGATGCTTTTCTAGCTATGAGACACGGAGAGGAAGGACAAACAGACTATTTGTGGCTGTGCCCAAACTGCGTCAGGATCACTGTAATTTTGCCTCTGAGGGAAAACGCAGGAAAACCAGGAGCACAGAGCATCATGGAACTGCAGCAGAGAATGGAGGAGTGTAAAAAAGGAAAGCAAAAATACACACGAGTATTTCAGAAGCAGGTGCTTCAGGCAGCGGCTCTTTAAACCCTCTGAGGCTTGTAAAATTAAATCAAAAGACAGACACAGCAGCAATCTGGTTAATTGCTGAACGAAGAAAGAAGAACTTCACCTTGCAATTGCAGTCCCCCAGCCTTGTTGAACAAAGCACTGACTGCTGCAGGGATGAAGGCTGACATCACTCCTAGGGATACATGTATGTCACAAATAGGCCACGTCAGCACGGGACAGTCCCGCAGACCCCACGGAGTTTTGCAGAGAACAATCTCAAGTGTGACTGTTGCTCAGTTATTCTTCCCATGGCTGTTGTTGCTTTTCTTACTGTGAATCTTGGCTGGTCTGAGGAGGGCACAGAGTGCAGATGGTGCTGCTTAAAGACACCCCCCCACCACTTCTGAAGTTGAATGAAGAAGAAAATGACTCTGGACTCAACTTACCTCTATTTAATGTACATAGTGTATTCCCTAAATTCACTGATGCCGAGTTGCATCTTTTAGAGGGTTTTATCACACTCAAAAAAAAAAACAACCAACCAAACCTTCATTACCATTTCTATCAGGTTCCAATTAACACAGTACTGTTTATTTTCCAACTGGATGCCAGGAGGATGGGAGGTGGGGGTAATTGCTTTGAATTTGGGAACGCTTTAAAAGGAGAAAGGGTTTCAGACTAGAATGAATGCACTATTCATGAGCAGATAACCATTTTTGTCTTTTTTACTTTTAGGATCTAAACCACATTCACCATTACCTTACAGATAATATGAAATAGCGACTATGTCTGGTCTTTAAAGTTGTACAATAATCAAGGTGCTACTGTAACAGATATATTAAATTATAATGTACTATATTAGATGGAAAACTAAGCCCTAACAATAGACTAATTGTTTGTGTGTGGAAGGAATGTTTCTAGCTGCCCCAGGAAAGACCTCAAAAAGCTTAAATGAAAGCTAAATGGCACAGGATATTGAACTTTTCATTTTTATTACTGACTTGATGCTGGCCTTTTCAGATGTTCCAGTCTTTCTCTGCCTACAACAAAAGGTTGTAACCCTTTGTTTGAGATCAGTAATAGTTTTATTTCAGTACAGAGTGATTCCAAGTGGCTGTAGTGTTTTGAAAAATTAGGCTAATCACAAAACCTGGCTGTGTTGGCCTATGCATTTAGCCAAGAAACTGGAACTGTTCCTGCCCTCTGCCAGGCCTCCAAGTTACCCATGCCTGGGTGAGCTGTTGACCTGTGAGCATTGGTGAGCTGGTGTTTGAGGGCAGCAGGCTGAGACACGCTCTGTGTGATACCCTGCAGGTCTGTTGTGCCTGCAGTGCAGTTCTGATGTTGGGTTGTGACCTGGTGGAAACCCAGCCAGTCTGGATCATGGCCATGTGGAATGTTCTGCTCCTGCACTGGCTCAGCTGAGCAGGTGCTTCTAGATTTGCTTACACAGGGGCTCGAAGCAGAACTTTGAGTCTCCCTTTCCTACAGGTCCATCAGTGCATGAATTCAAGCAGGGGGGACATAAAACTTTGATGTGTTTATTCAAGCTTTGTATGGAAGAACTAAGTGTAAGGATGGTACAACATCATTTCAGCCAGGGAATGATGACTGTTCTGCTGATACTGTCAATATGCTGTTTGTCAATTTTTGTACATGAGCTGAGAGCAATACAGAGGAACATACACACATAGCCTTTCCTTCAGGCAGAACCATTTCCAAAATGAAGCCATTAAAAGCCTGTTAAATTCCAGACAAATCCAGAGCAATAACCATAAACATATTTACAAAAATGCTAATGCTTAAATGTGTTTGCTAAATTGTCATTTTTTCTTGCTATCTGCATCTTTTTAACAGGCACAGTGTGACTTCATAGTGGAAATGTAGGGTTTTTATTGATCTGAGATGCAATGTAGGTGGATGGGCCTTTTCTTAAAACCTGCTTCTTAAAATTGAAATCCTCACTCCTTTTCTAATGAGCCAATAGAGTCTGGTACAGCTGAGATTATAAAACCCTGAAGATAATTAAAATGTGATTTCTCATCATAATACTTTATATTTTGGGGAACCTTCCAGGAATTCAGTCTATTTTGTAAGTATAAGTTACATTAGATGTCCTCAAGTTTATCACTAAACCACTTTCATAGTCCAAAACTTTCGAACCTCAGTGCTTAAAATGGAAGCATAAAGGTCAGATTTGGGTGGGTATTAAGGGCTTAGTGGGACTGTCAAAAGCACTAAATATCCTTAAGCCTTTATGTAGTCACACATTTAAAAGGTCTTCTTCAGAGGTGCTAAACATCCTCATCTCTTGGGGAGTAATGTGACTTGCTTTATAGAGGTGCATGGCAGATTAATGTGTAGTATTTGATGTCCAGAGACACTCACTGCTCTTTGCAGAATGACTTGGAGATGAGAGTGCAGAACAACTTCAAATGAGAAGACAGTGCTTTTAAAAAATGGACTTCAGGAATCATAGGTCATCTTCACAGAATTTTGTAGCTGAAATCCTATTGGATGTAAATAGAAACAATGTAAGCCTTAAGTTACAGCTGTGGGTTGCATTTCTAGTTCATGTTTGGCCTAGCCAGGGTGTCAGCTCCTGGCAGGACAGTGGTTACAGCCTTGCTTCACCAGCAGGGCTCAGGAAGCACGAGTACAACTGACTGAAAACAAAGCATGACAATTTGGGGAATAGATTTCTTCCAAAAATGTATTAGTATTACATGAAAATGAGGAAAAAAACCCATGTGCAGTAATTAATTTTTCTTGCTATAGAGGTATCCAAGCACTAAGCCCCTGTAAGGCATGTAGTCATTAGACTAATATCTAGACAAGTTACTAGTAGTAATGTCATGGCTTTCTAATTCCACTTTTTTGAGAGGATTCACCTCCCTGACAGCTGCTTGAACTAATGCTACACAGAGAACAGAGCAAAACTAGACCTGCAGGTCTGCAGTGTTGGTATCAAACCCCTAAGCTAGAAAGATGTGAATATGTACAGTCTTCCAGAAGCATTAACTTAGCTTCTGGTATACAGCAGTATTTTAAAAGACCCAAATACATGAAATCACTTCTGCATCTCCTCCAATGTAATCAGAATGGCAGCAAAAGTCCCATTTTTCCATTTCTTGAGTGTGCCATTCTGCAACACAGGGCTCGATATAAGCCCAGCGGGAAGCAATGAGGGAATTGTGTGCCTTCAGCTTGTGTTGAAGTCAGTAGATGAACTTGCTCAATGCCTTTCAAAAGACACCCAAATCATACAATCTTGCCCTCAGTTTCACATCAGCATCAATCCCATTACCACATGAAAGGTGGATGGATGTTGGTCAGCTGGGCATGACTGAATTTTCAGGGCAAAACTCAAAATGAGTAAATTCCACAAGAATCCTGTGCACCAGAGTATCCTGAGCTTAGCCTATCATCATTCCCTCTGTTAGGCAGTGAATACAATCCTGTTGTACATCTCTGGAAGCTCCCCATGTGGATAGGGAACGTGCAGATCCGGAAGCAAACTGCTGAGGTTTCACTTTAACAAAGTGTGGACAGACACTAAAGCACTTCAAATAAGTAACATTTGAAGCATGGGGATATTTTTCTCAGCTTGAAAATATTTTATGATGTGGTCAGTGGTGATAAGATACTCGCTCAAGCCTGTCCCTTACTGATATCTTGGTTAATTTGTTGTGGTTTATTGTAATAGTTTATGCACCTTTTCTTAAAGCACATGAGTGCTGGTTTGCACATGATTGTAAATCCAGTTTAGAACAGAGCTAAGATTACTGAATATGTAATTGGAGTTATCAACAGGAAGACATGTTAGTAGAAAAGATACTGTTATGCATATCAGGGTAAAAATGTTACACAGTTAACAGTCTCTGGCTTAGCAATGACTGTGCTCCATGGAATGACACTGATCCCAAGCACAGCGATGGGCCAGAGGAAAATCCCCAATTGATTGTGTTGGGCTTTGGAGCAGTCCTGCAATTATTAACTGTACTACAGTTTTTACTTATCGATAGGGATTAAACTGCATCGACAACTGGTATAGTCCCTGTGCCAGGTGCAACTCTCAGATGGGAGGTGCACTTAATAGGGAGAAAATCCAGCCTTATCTGAAGTTTTCTTTGACATTGTTGAAATTTCAGCAGCAAATTCAAGGACTAAATCTGATCCAATGGATTGATTCATGTCTGAGATCAGAATTTGACTTTCTGGCTTTAAGAACCTTTTTCTCTTTTTAGACTGGTAGAAATTAGCCATACTATCTCAGATGATTCTCTCATTGGAAATTAAAACCCCTTTGATTGTGAACTGATTATTTCCATTGTTGTAGTTGCAGAATGGGATTAGGGAGTGACAAGGAAACAGGGAAAAGCCCCTTTGTTACTGCTCAGAGGCCCAACTATGGACCAAAGCTGTCTTCTTTTGTCCTTTCTAACACTACCTGTTGAGTGAAATCTCCTCTGTAGTTGGTGCAGGGCATTACTGAAGTGTGGCTGGGGAACAGCACACACGTACCTGGGGTCTGTGTGGTGGCACACGTGCTAATGGAGGCACAGGGGGGATTGGATGATCCTGTACAAAGTCATATCTGAGCCTGCACTCTTAGCTTTCTGATCCTGGGACATGTCCCTTTTGAAAGGCAGAAAGTTCTTGCAAGTCCACCTGGGACAAAGGCTACTACGCTTCCTTATCCATCCAACAGAATGAGTAAAAGAAAATTCTTTCGAACTAAAAGAGGTTTCTTAGTGGACATGAAACAGTGAAGAATTTGTTACTGATCTGGAGTTTAATCTTTTGTATTCATTTCTTTTACAATTCTTTTTACATATTTTGCATATTTTTAGATATTCAAAAACCACTTAGTTCATTAAAGCTTATGCTCATAAAGGCATCACATCCTGCATTTTTACATTATGCAAGATGTAGATGGGGACCCAATAGCTTGTATGGGTGGTATTTCATACACTCTGCACGGGTGCAAGACTCTGAAACTCAGGCTACAGCCTGAGCTACAGAAAAAAAAGCTGAATATGAGTAACTCCTGCCCGGTTTTCCTGCCCTGCTCTTTGTCCAGGCACAGGCTGTAGTGCTGTAAATTCACAGTGGCTTAGGCTGCTCCCTTTTCCCTTAGTGCCTTTCCCTCCACAGAAGTGGTATTTTGCTCCATAAACAGCTCTTGCAAAATGCCAAAGGAACATTTTTCTAGCTCTCTGCCACATAAAGGCTCTGTAATCATACTCCAGATCTGTCATAATAGAATAGGAGTCCTTCTCTGTTTTCATCCCTGTGGCCCTAAAGCTGCCAACCCAGATTAATACTGCAGTGCAGCAATGTTCCCAGGCTTTCTTGAATGCAGAAAGACTTCAAGTTCAGAACTCGAGTCCTACAAATTAAATGTCTGTACAGGAAACTTCCTTCTAAAAGGTGCAGAGCCCATTTAATGGAGTTCTGAACAGAAAATTCCATAGTCCAGCTACCTTTCAGAGAAACATGACTTCCTCAGTGAACTGTTACTGGTCAGTACT